TATCACAAGCAACAACTTTTTCATCAACGAAAATTTTCAGAAGTAGGACGCTTTCTCATTAAATTAATTCATTTTATGAAGTACTAAAAAGTCATTATCACACTCATTAGCTTTCTACTTGAATCGTAAAATGATTAAATCACAAAATCGACTAAAAATGTGGTCTACAAATATATAAGGCCATTTGGCCTTTACAGGTTGTCTCAGGACTTATTGGCCAAACTTTGGGGGTAGGGAGAGTTTCTAGATAAAATCTCCAACAAAAAAGTTCATTTGATGCGTGGGTCGATTCCCAGCGGAAAATGATATAAGACCAATTTTTTGTGGACACGTTTTTTTATTTAATAAGAAAGAATTGCACAAAAACTGTTCAAGATATATATATATTTTTTAACTTAATTTTTCAACTCACGCCTGTCAGAAGTTCCGACAATCAGAAAGTGTGATGTCGAGATGCGAAAGAGTAGGTCTTGGAATTAGGCATGATGGATAGGAGTACCCAGCGGCGTCCTTCCTATCTTGAATTTAATATTTATAGTTAGTAGAGAAGATCACTCATCCAGCTTCTTTTAAGTCTCCTTCGGGAGCTATCTTTCATGTTGGTTGTGGCCATGCCTCGAATCAATGAGTTGGTATGTCCGTGTGTTATTATGAAATCTTTTGAAGTATGTTCGTATATGGTCGTTAACTGCTGGCATCTGTAAGTCTTTATATAAAGTAATGTTACTGACGTACACGGAAGCCTTGGTCTTTATATAGCCTTGGTCTTGAAAGTTTTAGATCGAAAAGTCTGTAGTTTATGTATGTGAGTCTTTTTGGCTGTCCCGTGTATCTGTGAAGCGTAGGTCCAAATGTCCTGAAGTAGGTAAATATATTCAATTTCTGTCTAAGTTTTAATTTTAAATGTATTGCTAGAAGTGAGTACACTATTCATAGTCTTAGGTTTAGAGTTTTTGATATGTGAGCCCCATGTCATTCTTCTGTCATAGATTAGTCCAAGATATTGAGCTTTGTCTGTCTAAGGAATTTGGACATTGTCAAGGTAAATATCAGGGCGAGTTTCATGTCGAAGAGTAAAAGTGATATGTAGTGATTTGTCTTGGTTGAGTCGAGTTTGCACCAGGCGTAGAATTTGTTTTGATGATATTGTAGAGTCTGTGAGATAATTAAATTCTAAATATACTAACTTAAAATAGACAATTTTTTTTCGAGAAAAAAGTGATTAAATTTACTAAGATCAATCATAAAGGGACTTCCAGGAGGTCAAATACGACCTCTGTACAGAGATAAGCTGCTGGTGTATGGGTACTGTAACTGCAGAAGTACAGCTCCCTTTTATCATTGACTATAGTAAATTTAATCACCGTTTTTTGAAAAAGAAAAACAAAAGGTCTACTTAACGTTGGTGTACTTATAATTTTATTATCTCGAACAGTTTTGAGAATTTCCTTCTTATTCAATACAAAAAAAAAAACGGGCAGAGTTTTCCGCTCCGAATCGGCCCAGGCATCAAATAAACTTTTTTGCTGGAAATTATCTCTGGAATGACCTTCTAGAGTTTCGCTATTAAGAACTGGAACACCCTGTATAACCTCGTTATTTTGAGATATTGGAGCTCATGGCTGACGGTCTGATATTTTGCACATCTCTTTTCACGAATTTGTGATAAAATTATCTTATTATGATTCAAGTGGAAAGTAAATGGATATTCCTTGCACTTCTTTAAATAGACAAAGTTTACCGATCTCCAAAACACTTCATTTTCGAAATAAAATTAAAATAGAATGACAACTTAATTTTCAGCATTAATGACAGTCACAAGTCGATCCATAGAACGAATACTAAGCATGGTGAGAAAATTTTCTATCGTTGAAATTTTTTATATAAACTTTCTTTCACAAGATAATTTCATACATTAAAGAAAAAATAAAACTTTCGAAACCAGAATCCACTTTCTCTATTATTATATTCTTTGAATCCTTCTTGTTATTTTTTTCTAATTAGAGCTTTGGAGTTTCACATTTTTTAAACGTCTTTAGTGACAGCAAAACTACATTAGGTTAGGGATGGAATATCGAAGGTCCAATGACGATCTTGACATCGATATAATATCGCCATATAACTATCGATACGATCAAAATAATCGTATAATCGAGTTGTGTTCCACCAAGACAACGCACTGGTCATTGCCATTAAATTATTGAGTCTTTAATGGGACCTTTGCCCCACTCTCTCTATTCACCAGACCTAGCTCCAAGTGACTACCACTTATTCCGGTCTCTGCAGGACTCCATGAATGGAAAGAAATTCCAAAAGGAAGAGGACATCAAAAACCACTTGGATGAGTTTTTTAACAATAAACTCCAGACGATCTGTGAACATGGCTTTACGCAGTCAGTGGAAAGATGGAAAAAGTCATATTAAATAATGGTGAATATATTGTTGATTAAAATAAATTTTATGTCTATAATACATTAAGTTTTATTTCACCCTCAATTGGACTTATTTGCCAACCCGATATTTAATATTGAAAGAAACTTTTATTGAAGTACCACTTTTAATGACAAACAAACTAAAGTGTATGCTTTAGACCACACGATAGAAGTGAAAACATTACTTTAATTTCTCAGATATTTTAATCCATATCTTTAATAAAATTTGTTATTATTTGATTTTCGATACTATTTTTTCATTTTCGCCTCTCTAACACGGCGTTGCTTTAAGATACAATTTTGAATAATAGCCCATTACAGAGAGGATGAAACGATGAATATTTCCCTCGCTGACAATTTGCAGGTCCGAATTTTAGATTTTGAGATACTTTAATCTATATTCGAAACCGTTGGAGTAAAGTCGACTAATTGAAGTGACTTTACTCGAGCCTTACACATCGGAGTTCTGACGGTTCAGTCTAATTCACTCTCTACAAAAAAAAAAAAAAAAAAAAAACGCACCTAAAGAAGTTTTTACTTCAAAAAAGTTTCCGATTCAAATCCGAAGTAAGATTTTTAAGTACTTATTTTTGAATCTTGTGTTTCACATACTCGGCATTGGTCATGATAATTTCGATTTTCCAAAAAACAACTGGAAGATGTAATCCATGCATTAATATAAAGTTAAATAATTCACAGTTATATTCTTTTATGTGAAAGTTTAAAATTTGCATTTTTCGCAAGTATTTGCCATTTCATCCCACTATGTGCCTCTTCAATGCAAGGACGTGATATTTCGAAATACTACACACTTCAATCGTGCACATATAATTTTTTTTTCGTGGAGAATGTCACGACACTAAATAACGTATTCGTTATTTAAAAAAAACAAATTGTTACAAACATTTACATTAAAAGTAATTTTTTTTTTTTAAATAGTGTAAGTGAAAAATTTTAATAACATCAGAATGCTGAAGAGATGTGGGAATAAATTAATCACATAACAATAGTGTAATTATTGTTATTGCAAAATAATTAATAAAAAACAAGAGTAATAATAATAAGATTAAAAAAATGAATTATATTTCATCGAAAAAAAGAACCCAATTTTAATATATTGATCCTCATTATATATTAATTGTGTTATTTATTTAAACTTATTCAAACTATTTTATAAATCAAGTCATTGTTTTATTATTAATTTATTTTGTCTTAGTCTCCTAGAATTTTCAGCACCATTTTACACATTTATTAATACAATTCGTCTTTTAAATGTATCATGGAGTCTAATTACTGACTCAAACCGATTTCGTACTACAACGCAAATTTTATTTAATTAAATAAGTGCTGAGTATAGGAACTCGCCCTATGATTCAAAATTTATCTGCAATAGTATCTCACCTCTGAAAATTTAACAAAACTGTTTAGCAGTTTAATTGAGTGAGTGATTTTTATTTATCAACAAACAAAAAATTACGAAAATAAAGTACGATTCTTATCCATGGAACTCAAAAATAGATAAATAAGTTTTTAGATAAATGACATATTTGACCAAAATCGAGAAATATAAATTATAAATATCACTAAATAATAAAACATTAATACATTATTCTATTTCCTCAGTTGGAATTTATTTTTTTAAATTGAATAATGAATTAGCAATGCAATAAACGGGCCACCATCTGATCATAAAAGAAAATTTATTGATATATAGATGAATTATAAGGAAATGTTATCATGGCATACCATATAAATAAATAAAAAATGAATTTATTTTTTTGCATACCAAAAAATTAATGAAATGAAATGTAAATTAAATTATGATAAATAACAATTTTTATACTTGTTCTAACATTCAACCATATTTACCTCAAGGAAATGAAAAAAAAAAATCATTATTACAGAACTACATTAATCTTTTCAAAACTAATTAACAATAAAAGTAAATGTTTTTATAAACATTAATAAATATTAATTTAACTTTTTATGGAGAAAACATAACTACTTCACTTTGTCCAAGTATAGAAAAAATTATAAACAAAATAAATTCCAACTTACCTTTTAATTATTTTCAAACCAGGCCAATGATATTTTCACAAAATACATTATAAGTTCCTATAACTTATAAGTATTTTAGATGAAAAAAATGCGTTTTTCTTGTGAATAGGATGAAATAAATATTACAGGATTAAGCAAAAGAATTAGGGCTCTAAGAAAATATAATAATAATAATAATAAAACTTAGCTCATTGAATGAATTCCAATTTATTAACATTATATATACAATATTGCATCATTTTTTCAATAAATTTATATCCTATATTTATATAATCTACTTATAAGCTTTTGATATGCCTCTATGTATCGATTACAACTAAATGATATATTACACGAAATAAATAATTTTCATTTTTTGAAATGTAACATTTGCATTTAATACATTTTTTGACATTTCATTTTCACTTAAATTATCTAACCCCTAAAACGTAAAACGTTCTTTATATTATCAATGTATAAAAAAAAAAATAATAATAATAAAATAAAAAATAAAAACAGTGGAAGCTCTTAGTTTCTATATAATTGCAACATTTCTATAAAATCGCTGTTCTTAAATATAAAAAAATAATTTCAGTACATATGAACAAATGGTGTTCCGAAAACAAAATTAATAACGATTTTTTATTTTATATATTTTTTTTATTTCAAAAATGGTAATCTAGTAAAGCACGATATAAATAAGATAGGATTATTTACACATTTGAAAAGACGAAAGTTCCGACAAATGGAAACGAGTCGCATTTCTTAGAAGAGAAGTCTCTGCATTAGATGTCCTGTGAGACTAGATGACTTTAAATAGTAAAATCTCTAAGATCATTTTAACTAAAGAAAACGTCTTGAGAAGTCTTAGTAGTAAATAGTACAAGAGTTATACATTTTTTTTTTAGTATTACAATTATTACAATGAAGGTTACTAGGTTTTTTTTAATAATAAATAATAGTGTAATTAGGTGTAATAGTTGAATAGTTATGTTATAACCTAGACATGTATCCAGTTCTGCAGTTCGGGCTGTGGATTGTCCTGAAAATACATAAACGATACATCAGTACCTAGAATATATTCTAGTTAAATACATTTGTAGAGTGTTTGGACAGAAATCATTTGTTTAGAGAATGATAAATTTAAAAAAAATATATTAGAATGAATATTTTCAAAGATTTCTTTAAAGCAACCGTTTCACCTTGAAGGTTCCGTCAAAAAGAAATAACTTTATGAATTTCAACGAAAAAGAATTCATTAAAGATTGGTCGGAAAACGCGTTAAAGTATTGATTGAGCATCGAGTAAGTAAAGAAGGTAACGGGAATATTTCCGTTTACAATATGTTTATTGTTTTATAGAAGCCTCTCTTCAATCAAATTGGCTGAAAGGAGTCATTTTTCATTAAGTTTCATAAAAGTATTCCTTTTTGACAGAATGCTCAAGTGGAGAAGGAAAAACGAATATGTATACGATCCTAATTTTAATATTAATATTTAATATTATTATTATAATTAAAATTTTATATTTATATAAATAAACTAATGTTTCTTTAAAGCATTCTTTATTTTATTTCATTTTTTTATTTTTATTTGGATCACTTAAAAGTATGACTTATTTTGTTTTAACAATTAAAAAGATAAGTAATAAAAGTAATGTCTTATCTTAATAATTTATATTTAAATTAATTGTTAGCATGTAGTGATTATTAACAACAATAATGAAAACTTAATATAGGCTTTTAGATCGCAACAAGCCAATGGTAAAATAACGGATTTAAATAACAATGATGTGAACTTTTATTTTCACGTTTATCATGTTAATTTATTCTAATTAATATGTCTTTTTTATTTCTTCCTTTATAGTCTAGCATTCTAAGAAAATTGACATGTACTTGTTGAACAAGCAAATAAAAAAAAAAATGGTTTTTCAATAAATTAAAAGTCCTGGTGATTCATTGATCCTGATTAAATTAAATTTTTTTCAAAGCAAATTCAATGTTTCGTAAGTCAAATTTAAATATTTCCAAAACAGCTTAAACCACTTCCAAACTAAATTCAACCTTTTCAATTTCAAATATAACTTTTTATTTATTTTAGCTTTTCGGAATTTTCTGATTAAAAATAATAGACTCTTTTATCAAAAAAAAAAAAAAATCAAAAAAGTTAAAATAAACTAAAAAATGAAATTGAAAAGTTGAATACGGTTTGGAAAAATATTAATATGATTTCGAAATTGGCAAAACCTGAATTATTATTTTATGTAAATAATTTAATTATTTTTTAATGTTATATTAACCGATTGAATCTGCTCATAATGAAAATTATTTCTAATATAAAAAATAATTGAAAATATTATTGTTAAATCAGAGAAAATAGACTAGACATTTTATTCTTCAACAATTGCCGTATTTCTTATTATTAACTATGGTGAACTAATTGTTTAATAATTATTCAAGAGAAACGGGGGAGAGAGGACAGAAACAAAAGTAAAGGAAAGTTTTTAAATAGCTGTATATAAATAAATCTATTATAAATACACAATAAATAAATTAATTGATATTCTAAAATACATATTCTACATTTTTATCATACATAAGACACATGTTATTCTAACACTAAACACATAAACATGCACAAATCTACGTATCCCATAAGCAATCGGGAACATTTAAAAAAAAATGAACACTTCAGTTCGGGATTTCCTAATTTGGTCTCGACATAGGAAGCCTGGTTTTTTGGCCAAAGGCCAAGGTATTTCAACCCTTTATCCAAATTTGGTTAATGAAAGAAACATTTTTATTAATTTTTGGTTAGTTCAAATTCCAAGCAAATGGACATATTAGTTAATATTTAGTACATAAAATAAAAATTAGTACACTTTTAATTCAATAATATTACTTTTCAGGAAAGGGAAGGATATAAGCGTTAGTTCGATATTAGTCGATATTCTTTGTTATTATTTACACATTTTTTATAATAATTGTTAGTCTATTTTTGTATGCTTAAATTAAAAATTAAAATAATTTAAAAAATTTTAAAAACAGTAAATAACTAACCAATCTTAGTTTCAACAATTCAGACATCATTAGAAACGAATGCATGAATGCACATCTAACACCAATATTTAAAAAAAAACACAATCAGCCAGAGACAGACTCTAAGATATTTTAACACAATATAAGATGAAGATGGAATTGGAGAAACGTTTGATAGATAGTTATTTACTAATATTTATCAGTCGTTTTTACCAAAGTGAACAAACATTTTTAACATAGTCATTATTGATAAATTGTCAGTAAACGTGAAAAACTATACCTTCTATTTTAATTATAATATAAAAACCAACATTAAAAAAAAAATAAGAATTTCTGTTTTTTTAGCACACATTTCCGGAAATCATTAATTATTTTAACAGTAATTAAAAAACCATTGAAATTTGGATATGACCACTTTTGGAGAAAACTTCAAAGCCAATTTTGAAACAAAAAAAAAAGTTTCATGAAGTCAATTTTTAGAGAATAATTGAACAAATTGAATCATTTTCATTATGTTCTTTGAAAAAAACAGGACGGTTTTGGAACTTATCTTCACATCACCTTTGTTGATATTCAGGTTCATTTCAGAATATAAAATATGATTAATATTCCATATTATTATAGATGATGATGTTTTTATAAAGAAATCGATAGTTATCTCTATTACCAAAAAAAAATCGATTAGTGTTCACTTTGGAAAGAAGCAACTCATTAATTGTTTTCAATTTTTTTTCCTATTCATTATTAAACATGATCACGTCAAAATACCAGTAAAATATCAACATAGGAAACCCACCATTCCTTCCATAAAAAATTAGTTACCAACATGCACCATATAGAAAAATGTTTATAAATTTTCGCATTATACGTCATCACGTATAGTTATAAGAAATTATTCCCAAAATTTTCATTTAAATAGTGAAAAAACTAAAGAAATTTTTTGAATTTTATTTTTCGTTTTTTACCGAAAAAAATAAATAAGCAGGGATAGTGGACTGCACATAATTAAGCCCTACGTCAACACTCATACTTAACTACTCAAGTTAATCACTTAACTACAACTTAATATATTTTGGACAGAGTCCAACTACACACGAATGGCAGCAATTTTTTCAACCAGAATATTTCAACGCTTGGTCCTCTTAACCTATTTTTTAAAAAAGAATTTACAGCTGTTTTTTTTTTTCAAAAAAGCGTTGAAATTTTCTGGGACATGTTAGTGGTTGGCTACATGCAATATATAAATACACGATGAAAATGTATTTGTAAGCTTACAGTGTGCGATAGATTTGGGCCGGCTCTCTGATCCCTCTGCACTACCGCCAACCACATCTAAACAACACAACAACATACAAAACTTTTTGTTTTTAATATTCCGACTCAAAAACGGCTCCAATTTTTTGAGCCCAATAATTCTATAACATTCGAAATACCCTGTATTCTCTACCAAATCCCAAAATAATTACAAAAACTTAACCTAAGTGTTTCTAAGATTTAAATTCCATGTTTCCTTCTTTTTCAGTCTGAGCAAGTTACAAAATATATTTCAAGCAAAAAAAAATAGTAAAATAATTGAACTCTGTTAATATTAATGGCATCCAGAAGAGTTAGTACATTCTTTGAGTGTTCAAAAATATTTACATAAGATCATATATGTACATCAAGAGTTGGAATTCAAAAAGCAAATTAAATGAGTGAATGAATTTTAAAATCAAATTTACTTCGAAAATAAATTAAATAAATAAAAAGCTTCCACAAGCCTCAGTGTACGCCAATTTAAAACTGTTTATTTTGAAATTGATTTTATACTATTAGCAATGTTCCGATAATTTATAATAAAAAGTTATTTTTAAGATTCATTTTAATAGAAGTTTAAGCAAGTAAAAAAAAAATCATAATAACAAAACATGTATCTGATGATAGATTTAGATTTTCTCTCTCTCTCTCTCTCTCTCTCTCTCTCTATATATATATATATATATATATATATATATATATATATATATATATATATATATATATATATATATAAATATATAAATGTATATATAGATAGATATATATTAGTATAGTTAAAGATGCAGTAATAATTTTTTTATTTTTTTTAATAAGTTTAATTCAAACAATGTAATCATAATTAAATATTTAGTTTTAATTATTGCAGTGTTCATATATTCCAGAAAATAAAAACGGTTAACGGTAAATTTTAATTAATGATTTCTTTTTTCAAATATTTGAATTAATGCAAAGAAATTAAAAATATAATAGTAAATTATTGCAATTTTTGATTAAAAAGTATTAGAAAATGAATGTATTAGTTTAAAATAACAATATTATTTAATTATTTGTTACAATAAATTAGGCCATTTTTCACCAACCTTTTATTATTACGCATCAATTTAACGTTCCAGTTTTGAAAATGACCCTTAGTATGGTCGAAACGTTAAATTGATGCGTAATAATAAAAGGTTGGTGAAAAATGGCCTAATTTATTGTAACAAATAATAAAACTTCAAGACACCAAAAATAGGAAAAATGAACAGAAGAAATATTATTTAAGTTTGATGTTTGTTTTTTTTAATAATTATTTTAGGTTAACAGGTAATGAACAAGCCGAAAGGGTTCAATTCTTAGACATTGCTCTTTGTAAAATATACTTGAATAGTAAAATACTTAAAATAATAAGAAAATATATATATATATATATAATTAATATTTTTGTCTAATTGTCATATTTGAAAGTACTTTTTAAATTTTCCAAATAAATTCCTAATATTTTATCTTTTCAATTATTTTTTTATAAAAATTATTTAATTTACCTATGTTTTTAATCCGAGATTGTTTTATTAGAAAAACAAAATAATTAATTGTAGAAACTACTACTGAACAGAAGATTGAAAATGAGAAACAAGAAAAAAGAAAAAGAAATAGTACACATAACGAAACGTAAAGCCAAAACTTTTTATTTTTTTTTTAATTCCTAACATATAAAAATTCACCATCTCATTTTATTTGCTTCATTCAATTTCTACCACCAAAAAAAATGTGCTCTTAGAATCATTTGTGCTCAGGAAACAATTAGTGATGTAAGATATAGTAAAGCAGTTCAATTTTGTCATTTCAAATCGAAAACAATATAAATAAATAATGTTATCTCCTATTCGAGACCAAAAACTGCTGTTGACATCTTTTTTACTTTAAGTTTCAACAAATGTAATCCTTTAAACTTTAAAATACTTAGATCATAGATATCATATAAAAGAATATATGTATATGTATATAGAGACATAACCTGCAGATAAAAATAATATAGACATGCATAAATTATTGTTTTAAAAAAATATAGCTACGTTTCTTTCAAGCTGCTACGTACATCTGAAAAATAGTGTCATGTGACAAAACCATATTTATTAACATCTATACCCTTATATAAAAATTTATTAATCAATGTATTATTTAATAACAATTATAAACTGCCAGATTTAGTTTAAAGATGCGTACGATCGATTGAAAAATGATTTTACATTACTCATTTATAGTCTTGGGTATAGTATTTTGTAAGGAAGAAACTTCAGTTTTTTTCCCATAATTAATCATTTAATTATGAATAACCACTTTATAAAGGCTGGGTCTCTCCCAAGGGGATCTCTCTATCCCAGGGTCGATTCAAGGCTGATGTACTAATCATTGAGCTATTTCGAAAAAAAAATGGATTTAATATAAAACCTTTTTAGATTTACCGATGCTATTCAAAAGGACAAACATTATTTTCGAATAATTTTGTAATGATATTTAAAATCAGTCAAAGTCAAACTAGATTTCGTATAGTATACATGAAGTATGGGAGTAAGACATGGATTCTGACGAAGAAAAATAATAGAGCCTTACAGGTCATCAGAAAGAAGAGTCCAGAGGAAGATCATATGAGCCATCAGAGAGCAACATAGTTGGAAAAACTGAAGCGACACCGAACTACTTTTTTGGAAGGACATGTGAGTAGTGTAGTGTATTTTTTTTAGATAGGAGAAACCTAACTAAGCCCGAATGGAAAATTAGAGGAGTTAAATGCAAAAGTATATTGGTTATACCAATTATTAACATATAGTAACTAAGATTGCCAAGTATTAGCAACTATTTTGCCTTAATTTTCATTTTAAAAATCTTTTTTTTTTTTATCAGTCCTGATCTTGGTCTTGCAACAGTTAGGCAGCCAAAGTGCAAGACCAAGATCAATTTTGGGCAACACTAATGGTGAGCCTGATATCAGTGTTATCAAGAGCAATTAGCAGTATAGAAAAAACGAAATTGGCAAAAAACTAAATTTGCACTCAATTAAAGCCATTTGTAAAAAAAAATCACCCTCAGAACTTAAGTTGTGATTCATATTAAATTTAAAATTCTCTTGAAGCGTCTAGTATTGCCGAAATGCGAGACCGAGACGAGCCTTGGTCTTGCAAACTCAGTCTTGGTCTTGCGCAACAGTCTTGCAGTTGCCTATTAGCTTATTACAATAGAGATGTTTCTGTAATTTTTTAGATAGGAGAAACCTAACTAAGCCTGAGTGAACAATTAGGAGAGTTAAATGCAAAAGTATATTGGTTATATCGAATCTTTACAAATAGTAACTAAAATTGTCAAGTATTAATAACTATTTTGTCTCATTTTTATTTTTTCAAAAAATCGTTGTAGTTTTTTTTACCAGTCTTGGTCTTGGTCTTGCAACAGTTGGGCAGTTTCGGTCTTGGTCTTGCAAAGTGCAAGACCGATTTTGGGCAACACTAAAAGTGTCTATTAATGTTACACCTACCTTAGTCATTTTTAGAATTAAAAAGATGATTAATATAAATCGAAAAATTTTTTTCTTAAACAAGGCCTTCAATAAATTTTTATTGCTACATGAAACAGTGAATGTTTTTTAATAGTGCAATTATTATTCATTAATGTAAATCAAGTTTTTTAGTTAATAGACATTATATTTTATATAGAGAGATTTTTTATGTTTTGTCAATTACAGACTGTGCAAACCATACTGATGTTATCGAACAGCTGACTTAAAAATTGCTTTCGATTTGGTCAGATATCCTCGGTCAAAAATAAATCCATATTATAAAAATAAAGTTCATTATCTAAAACTAAATTTATGATATAAACCTTCAGATTAATAAGAAAATTATTACGGTTTCAGAACAAAGGATAACAATCAACGAAGTTGACAGAAATAGGACATGATGTCTTGCAAAAGAGACAAATGAGGACGAAGTATGAATCAGAAGGTTCCAATTTGCGTGGGTATTTCTACCAGCCCACCTCGGTTGAGGTCATTATTATTGACAAATTGTCAACACGCATTTGATAACTTTTTTTATTTTACTATAAGTTAAGGAATAAGTAAATTCCACTATTTTAAGGAATATAATTTAAAATTATGTAAAATTATAAACAATGGAGGAAAATTAAAAAAAAAAAATCGTTTTGCAACGTTTCAGATTTGTTTGTGATATAACATGTCATAATTTGAAAATAATTAAATTTTATTAATATTTTATATGAAACTATTAGTAATCATATAGAATAAAAGACTATTATTAATAAATAGTTTATATTTTAATTAATATTTGTAATTAATCAGTTATAAATCATAACTTTTCAAGGCATTATAGTGCTGTCAGAACGTTAACTGTTAAATGGAGAAATGTTATATTCAATATAAATTTTTCATATTGTTTCACAGATCTACAATTCATTGTGTGATTAATTAACACATTTTTTAAAAAACATACTGTATTATAGTAATTAATTATTACATTAATTGTTATACGTAGGTTAATTTTGAAGAAAACAAAATAGTATGTTCGTGATTCATTGGACTTTATTATTAAATTATTATTAGTATTTATTATTCAAAAAATGTAAACATTGTTTTTTTTATTCATAAAGGATTCTATGATAAAATATGTCAATACTTGTCATCCGTCAAGAAATGTCAGTCTTGTTTATTTTGATTAAGATATAAATTAACAACATATAAAATTAAAATCTATAACTTCTTTATTTAGTTTAATTAATTTATCATAATTATTTCAAATAATTGCCTTTAAGTATTACTTAAATGAAATGGTCATGAGTGGGTTAGATTATGAGTAAACTCCATCAACAGATACAGGTTTAAATTAGACATTTAAATACTACTTGATAGCAGGCAATAAGAATATCGATAAATATTTCAATTAATTATTGAAAGATAATAAACTTTTTTAATGAGTTTGTACAATAAAAGTTTACCGATAATATTTATTGCACCAGCATAAAGCCTAATAGTACGTTTAAATGCC